CACTAGCTGGTTGATTCTGTAATTGAATTAATTCTTCATAATTGATACTACTTACATTTTATGAGTAGTGCGCACTGAAAAGGAGATGTCTACGAAATAGGCCATCTTTCACAACAATCTGCTTAGCCTTATATCGTCGCTCACCTTGAAAGTAGCATTTCATTCGTAGATATGAAACGGCCAGCCTCAGAATTGACAATTTGTCCAACTTGGCGATTACCGTCTGCTCAAACGGCAGCAAGCTGGCCAGGTGCTCGAGTTCAGCGTTTAACCTCTCGCGGTGCCGTTTGCTTGGGTTCGACTTGACTAGGCCGGACACAGATCCGCTGGAGCCTGTCGGTGTTGTGGCTGTGGTGGATGTCTGGGCGGGGCCAGTAGCGCCTGTTCCGGTGGCAACAAGAGGCGGTCTATTTACAGTCGTCCCACCGCCGACGGTTTCATGACTAGCCACGGTGGAGTGGCCAGCTAAAATGGGGCCGCCATGCAGTTGAGTCTGGCCCAAGTCGGGCTTGCAGACGCCTACCGGACAGCCGAGAAGGTTGCCTGCACGGCAGACTTGGCCGGGTGGTACGACCGACGTGCTAAAGAGCCAACAATACAGGGCAATTATAGAAAATTTAAGATAGAGACATTTAATTCAGAGTCTGTGTTCATTCTGGGTTTAAGGATAGCGAATAATGCTTATCATAATGAAAATAGAGTATACTATACGCTTGATGATCATTGGTATCTTTCTCTCTTGTTCTCTTGTAATTGCAATTTTAATTGCGCTTCGAATATCGGTTTTGACGTTGCCATGGCAGCGCATTCTTGGACCATACATAACAACAGTAAACATTAATTTATGAGGGATAGGCAAAATGTAAGGGAAATTTTACAGGGGCCGATCTCGACTTTGCTATGTCGTTCATTGTTCCTGACATTGCTGCAGAACATTTTTTTAGTATTTTTTGAAACGACTACTACTAAGGTCCCTTAAAATAAGTTAAGGACTGATAGAGGAGTTTTTCCCACAACGAAAACAGTGGGAATCTCTGCACCATCGGTCAGTAAAATACCTGAGGCAACCTGGGATAACTAAGTTTATATTCAAGAGTTACTGAAAGTTTACAAAAATGTACCTCCTAAATACATATTATTTGGGCATTTACGCATGTAATGGTTTGTAAGAAGAATGCTGGCCGCAAATATTACGGGTCCTCCTGGTCTCTCAGTAACTTAGTCTCTTGGGCTTGAGGCTGCGCTGACTTTGAAAATGTCGGATAATATGCGTTAGTTACACTCTTAAAAACATCATTAAATGGCTTTCTTGAATATTCAAGAATTACTGATGATATCGAAATTAAATGACAATCATTTATGCTACCACGAGATGCAATAAGGTTGATGGGATATACTGAGCTGAAATTATTTA